CAGGAGATGGAGCCAGAGCTGCAGCAGGAGATAGAGCCAGAGCTGCAGCAGGAGATGAAGCCAAAACCTCTGCAGAAGTGAAATCTTCAAGCAGGCTGGAATGAGGAGCATCTGCCAGGACCTCCTCACGGCTGGGCGGACCCAGGTACATCACCACCACAGAAGCCTGCCACCATTCCAGCTCCTCCAGCGAGGGAAGGATGGACTACTCCTCCATCAAGTGAGGGCATGGGTTCCTCTCCCCCAGCGAACTCCCCCCTTGCTCCTCCAGTGAACGAGAGCTGTGTTGCTCCTCTGGTGGTCACGAGTATCTCTCCCCCAGCAAAATTTTCTGCCATTCCTCAGGCAACTGAGGGTTGGGGTTTTCCTCCGCTCGCGAGGATCTCCCCTTCTTGCGCTGGGTTTGGGAAGGACCAGCTGTTCGCCCCCTCTCTCCGACAATTTCTTGGGACAACCAGGTGAAGAGTGGGGAAGAGGTGGGCAGCGAGGTGCAGAGGCGAAGCAGAGAGGAATTGAGAGGCTGTGAGGCTGAGGACTCAGGCTTGATAGCCAGACAGGTTCCCCAAAACAGATTCTTCCTCTCCTCCCTTTCTCTGTCTCTCTGGGCAGTCTTATCTGGCTCACAGGCCAAAAATTAGAGCAGGATAATCATCCTCCTGCTGGGTTCGGTTTGGTCTCGAGATTCTATCATGTTCAGCCATCAGGTGTGTTGGAACCCACATTCAGGAGGATGACAAGGATGCTCGAGGAAAAGTAAAAAATATATTCATTAGCACAAAACCAAAAATCAAAATGCTGACAGGGCAGCTAATACTGGGACAGAAAAACAGGCAGATCAGAGCTGACAGGATGAAAGGTTGAACCTGACACCATGGAAGAACAATCCTGAGACAAAGACAAGATGCAGAGGAACTGAATATATACACACACTGACTGGAACTAATAACAGACACCTGCAGTGGTTAACATTAGACGCAGGTGAGACAAGGGCTGAACACAAGGAGGGAAAACACTGAGAGCTGAACTGGAAACATGAGGAAACAGACCGAGACGGGACAAAACCCAGAAACCCTACTGGTAGTAAGTCAGACCCCTTCAGGGTGGGAGATGGACTCCACTAGAGCTGCCCATTGTCACGATTCTGTTCATAATTTTTATGGACAGAATTTCTCGGTGCAGCCAGTAGGTGGAGGGATTTCGGTTTGGTGGCCTCAGGATGCCCTCTCTGCTCTTTGCAGATGATGTGGTTCTGTTAGCGTCATCGTGCCATGATCTTCAGCTCTCATTGGAGCGGTTCGCAGTCGAGTGTGAAGCGGCTGGGATGAGAATCAGCCCCTCCAAATCTGAGCCCATGGACCTCAACTGGAAAAGGGTGGATTGCTCTCTTCGGATCGAGGGTGAGATTCTGCCTCATGTTTAGGAGTTCAAGTATTTAGGGGTTTTGTTCTCGAGTGAGGGAAGAATGGAGCATGAGATTGACAGATGGATTGATGCAGCATCTGCAGTATTGTGGACTCTGTACCGGTCCGTTGTGGTGAAGAGGGAGCTGAGCTGTAAGGCAAAGCTCTCTGTTTACTAGTCAGTCTATGTTCCTACCCTCACCTATGGTCACGAGCTCTGAGTAGTGACTGAAAGAATGAGAACATGGATACAGGCAGTTGAAATGAGTTTCCTCTGCAGAGTAGTTGGACTCTCCCTTAGAGATAGGGTGAGAAGTTCAGTGATCAGGAGAGACTCGAAGTAGAACCACTGCTCCTCCACATCGAGAGGAGCCAATTGAAGTGCTTTAGGCATCTGGTAAGGATGCCCACTGGGCGCCTCCCTAGGGAGGTGCTTCAGGCTTGTCCGACTGGGAGGAGACTCTGGGGAAGACCCAGGACACGCTGGAGAGCCTATGTGTCTCGGTTGGCCTGGGAACTCCTTGGGGTCCTCCCAGAAGAGCTGGAAGAGGAGGCTGTGGAAAGAGACGTCTGGGCGTCCCTGCTCAAGCTGCTGCCCCTGCAACCCGGCTTAGGAACAAGCGGAAAATAATGGATAGATGGATGGATAAATAGTTTATTTTTTAGACATTTATTTTGTAGAGTTAAAGCTGTTTGTTACTGTATGTGCCTGTGTGACAATTGGGACAAAGCTTTGACTCGTAAATATATTTTTGTTTTATGGAAAGAAAAAATATTGAGATATATATTGTATATCGCCATTCATCTTAAAATATCGAGATATTAATTTTGGTCCATATCGCCCAGCCCTAGATCTGAGGAGCAGTCTGCTTTGAATTTAACTCCATTGCATAACTCATCTTGAGCAAGCACAAAGGCAACAGTAGAAAGTAAAAAGTCCCTCATGAGGAAGAAACCTTTAACAGAATCAGGCTCAGGACAAGAGGCCATCTGCTTCGACCGACCGGGTTTGAGAGGAACAGGAAGGAGGAACAGATACACAATGGCAGGTCAAGAATCACATGTTAAGCTCCACATGGAAAACTTGGTAAAGAAACTGAAAGTTAAACTGGGTTTCTTTGTCAGAAGCAGATCCTGTTAGATCCCTGAATGTTAGGAAACACCTTGTATCTGTGACTTTCCTTCCCTCCATTGATTACGGTGATATTATTTACATGAACGCTCCTACAAGAACCCTGCAGATGTTGGATGATGTCTATCATGGTGCACTAAGATTCATAACTGGCTGTTATTATCCTACCCACCACTGCACCCAGTATTCACTGGTTAACTGGACATCATTAACTTCACGCAGACTCTCTCACTGGTACATTTTCATCTTTAAATCACTTCTTGGTCTGCTGCCTTCATACATCTCCTCCTACATGTCTCTGCATGAGTGCAGCTACAGCGTGCGCTCTCCGGACATCATTACCTGCAGTGTTCCCTCAGTGAGGACTGAACTAGGCAAAAGGGCCTTCTCCTACTCCGCTCCTGTTTCCTGGAATATCTTACAAAAAGATCTGAAGCTCTCGACCTTGACCTCTAATTGGTTTCAAACATCTGAGTTCATGGGGAAAAACAAATGCAGACAAGTTCCTGTTTTTAATTTTCTACACCACTTTACAACCTAGCTGTTTTTGTTTCCTTTTTTTTAATATCATTTTCTTTCATTTGTTCTTC